TTTTTTTTTTGTTTTGCTTACCACAGCAATTCAGGAGAAAGAATAAACTTTAGAAAATGGTGCATGAACAATTGGCTGTCCATGTGTTAAAAGAAAAAAAAAAAAAGGTTAATCTAGCACAGATCTTACACCTTTCACAAAAATAAATCCGGATCATGACCTCAGAGTGAACCATAGACCTAAACGTAAAATACAAAACTATAAAACTTCTTGAAGAAAAACATAAGAGAAAATCTAGGTGGCCTTGGGTTTGTGTTGAGTTTTTAAATACAACACCAATAGTAAGAACCATGAAAAAAAAATCTGGCAAATTGTAACTTAATAAATTTTAAAAGACACTGTCAAAAGAATAAAAAGACAAGTCCCAGTCTTAGACAAAATATTTGCAAAACACATGTCTGATAAAGCACTTGTATCCAAAACACAAAAAGAATTCTTGAAACTCAACAATAAGAAAACAAACAATCCAATTTTAAAATAGGCAAAAATATCTGAGAAGACACTACCTTAAAGAAGATACACAGATAGCAAATAAGCAAATGAAAGATGTTCAATGTTTTCTATCTTTTTGGAATTACAAATTAAAACTTTAAGGAGAAATTTCTATACACTAGTTACAACAACAAACAAACACACAAACAAAATACCTCTAAATCTGACCATACAAATTACTGTCAATGATAAGCAACAGGAACTCTCATTCTTTGCTGATGGAAATTCAAAATGGTATAAACACTTGGAAGATAGTTTGGCAATTTCTCAAAAAGCTAAAAAGTCTTACCATACAACTTAGACTGCACTTGTGTTTAGTTACCTAACTGATTTGAAAACTTATGCTCCACACAACCTGCCCATGAATTATTATAGCGGCTTTATTTGTAATCAGCAAAACACTGGAAGCTAGCTAGATGTCCTTCAATAGAAGAAATGGTATGTAAACTGTGATAATCCATGCTAGGAATTACTAGTCCATAATAAAAAATAAATGAGCTGTTAAGCCACAAAAATAGATGGATGAATCATAAATGTGCATTGCTACACAAGTGAAGCCAGTTGGAAAAGCCTATATATTCTGTGATTTCAATTAGATTTGTCTTGGAAAAGGCAAAACTATACAGACAGTTAAAGGATCAGTAGTTGCCAAGAGTTTAGGGGAGAGAGGAGAGTTGAATAGGTGAAGCACAGGGCAGTGATATTTTGGGGTAGTAAAACTATTCTGAATAATACTGTAAAGGTAAATACATGAAACTTTGTCAAAACCTATAGAACTTTACAGCACAAAGAGTAAACTTTAATGTATACACATTTTTAAAAAATCATTCAAGAGGTTGTGGGATCCCGGAATGGAATGTGGAATGTGACAAGACAGTATACCTTTATTACAACATTTAAAACAATTTCACTGAAGAATTATGGGAAAAAGTTGCCAAGCTAAGTAACTTTGGAAATGAGTACAGTTTGTTAGACAAAAGGCAAAAGAATCTGTACGTAAGCACTATACTCTAGTTGATAAAGGTGGTTTCCATGAGGTTACTGCTAAACAACTCTGATAGCGCTCTGCATTTATACTGAAACTAAACAATTAAGTAAATGGGTGACCAATGGTAGGAGCCAGGTTTCTTACTGTCGGAGCATGAGATTGCTGATATACCAGGGAAGTAGCCTAGAAAGATCCATGTGGTGGTAATGGACCACAGTTGAGGACATCAGTATGAACACATGTTTAGCTTACTATATATAGATGATAATAACATAAATATTATAGATATGTATGTACATATACCTGGATTAGTATACACATATATTTTCTTGCTGTATCAACTGAGAAAATCTAGAAGCAATGATAATCCAGGAGTAACAAACATACCTAACATGTAGATCTTGGTTTCTCATGCCACTCTCCAATAAAAAGAAGCAAGGCTTCCTGGTAAAATGGCTGATTCTAGGATTGGGATGGGAAATGTACAAGAGTATCCTGGAGCATCTAATGTAAGATGATAATAATAGGGGAAACTGGGTGAGAAGTATATGGGAACTTTCTGAACTATCTTCACAATTTTTTTCTAAACCTATAACTGTTCTAAAATAAAACATTCATTTTAAAAGAAATCTTTTTTTTTTTTTTTTTTTTTTTTGAGACGGAGTCTCGCTCTGTCGCCCAGGCTGGAGTGCGGTGGCCGGATCTCAGCTCACTGCAAGCTCCGCCTCCCGGGTTCACGCCATTCTCCTGCCTCAGCCTCCCGAGTAGCTGGGACTATAGGCGCCCGCCACCTCGCCCGGCTAGTTTTTTGTATTTTTTTTAGTAGAGACGGGGTTTCACCGTGTTAGCCAGGATGGTCTCGATCTCCTGACCTCGTGATCCGCCCGTCTCGGCCTCCCAAAGTGCTGGGATTACAGGCGTGAGCCACCGCGCCCGGCCAAGAAATCTTGTATTAAGCCAAAAGAAGGTGATAGGAAGAGCAGAAAGTTTGAAGATGCAAGATGGACAAATAGACAAGAATGACAAAAACTAAATAATTACATAAAGTTTATGTAAATTAATGCCACTAATTACAAGGCAGAGATTATCAGACCGAATTAAAAAGCAGAACTCATCTATAAGTTCTCTAAAATTGGTGCGTTTAAAATTTAAAAGCACACAGAGATTAAAATGAAAAAGATGGAAAAAGATATACCATGAAACCTGTAAGCATAAGAAAGCTAGAGTGTTTATGTTAATATCAAATAAAACAGGCATCAACACAAGGGGTATAACCAAAGGTAAAGGACATTTTAAATGTGTGCTAAATTCTACAATTTTTTTAATGGGAGAGTTACGCTACATGATTTCTAAAGTCCTTCCTGCACTAAGGTCTATGATTTCAGAGCTGGGCAGTAGCAAGTCTGATTTCTAAAAGTGAGCACATTTTGCTATGCCTTTACAAGTCCATAAAGAGCTGTTGGATTCACATGGATAAATTCTGATGGGCTCTTTCTGAACAGATTTGTCTATGCAGAATATTTTGCTTGAATTCAAATGAAATTTGTATTAACCTTTGTAAGTGGGAAAGCATAAAGAAATAGCACAAGAGGTTTATAGACATACCAGACCATAAGATTGTTTGCTTATGAAAGCTGTTGAACTATTTATTTGATCCACACCACACACATTTAGGAGGCATTGAACTGAAAGCATAATAAACCCTAGGGTGTGTATGTATTCTAGAGAAAGAGAAAGACTTGCATTCAAATGAATTCATTTTGTTTAATGTATGTTTTAGAACCATACTTGAAAAGTACTCTATGAAATTTCAATTTGATTTTGTTGGGTCATTTTCATTTAGAACTTAGTAAAATCTAAACTGCCTAATGAATATTTAGTATACCTTAGACAGTTCAGCATTTTCAAACCTGCATTAAATTGAAACATCAAAACAAAAATATATTATTTTTCAAATTCTTCTTGATATTTTCCTTTTGTGCCTCCTAAATAAAGATAGTCTAATAGCTGGAAATACTAGTATAAAATGAAGAGGGTAATGAGTAGGAAAAGAAAGGTTAGGAAGTTATAATCAATTGTGAGCTTCAATACAATCATAAACCATGAGAGCTAAATAAGTCCTATCTCTGCCTTTGCCCTTTCCTTGTAATAATGCACACAGTGATTTTTAAGTAATATAAGCCTGAGATAAAAACTGCAAAGTTCAATTATCTTAGCAATGAAACATTAGGAAGGAAAAGTGGATATGTTTGAATAAGTGATAAGAGTGGAAATATGACAACATAATGACATTTCAGTAACAAAATTAATTTACCTCAGATATAAGAGGGTACATTTTCCCATACTGATTGCTACTGATTTTTTGGTTTAGTTTAGTGAATTGTAAATCTCCCTGCTGCTGTTCTAGTAATTATATATTCATTTGAATTATGAAAATGATTACCGTAATATTTCAGCCTCTAGGGAGCTATAGACGTTTTCCATCACTTGAACCATTTTTTCCATTTTTTAAAACTCAGAATGACTTACATTCATTTTGTAAATTGTATAGAAATATTTGTGAGTTTAAATGTGATGTGATTCTAACTTGCCTTATTGAAAAAGCTAATTTCTGATGGTTTTGTGTGTGTTTGTGTGTGCATGAAATAACGAAGTTATTTCGTTGGAATGCACAGAAACTGAAGAACTAATGAGTTACTAAGTTGAGAATGAACAGAAACAGAGCAATGAAAGACTGAAAAATGAGTGCATTTCCCCATGGGGCCATTTTAAATTTAAACCTAATAAAGATATATCAGGGAAGGGGCAGCGAAAATGGGGAAAGACAGCATATAGTCTCACTTTGTATATATTTAATAGAAAAGGTGACGGCAAATTTTGGAGAACAAAAATGTTTAGAGATTCTTTTGCAGTGGAAATCTTAGAATTGAGAGAGAAAACTAACTTGAAAACAAATAGCATATTACCATTTTCTCTTTCTTTTTCTTTGGCTCCATAAATAGGTACTAAGTCTCTGCCAAATGCAAGGACACTTAGCTAACTGTGAGGATGGCAGTATATACAACACTGGTCCTCAAGTAGCTTTTATTCCCTTAATTGGAAGGCAGTGAGGGAGCTCGCCCGTTGTGTTGTGTTACAACTAGGGAAGAACGTTTAGATAAAAATTCAGAGAGTGAATATTTTTAGGATGTCCCAAGGCTAGTATTTTTTTTTTTCTGTTTTTCTTTTTTAAACAGGGCTTTGCTGTCACCCACGCTGGCATGCAGTGGCATGATCATGGGTTCACTGCAGCCTCGATCTCCCAGGCTTGGGAGCAAGCAATCCTCCCACCTCATCCTCCCAAGTACCTGGGACTATAAGCATGTATCACCTCGCAAGGCCAGTATTTCTGTGAGCCTCATTTCCACTTCCCTCAGCACCATCTTACTGATGGAGTCAGTAATTGATGGGCTAATTCCATGTATGCAAACTTAAGATCATTTCCAGTCATGAACTGTTCAAGCCCCATCTTTCTTCCTACCTGCTTTCCTCCTTGTGTCCAACATTAGTATGAGGTCATGTTTCTAAATATGCTTCTTAAAGACCCCACAGTTCTGAATGAAGCAAAATCATTCACAGTTCCAAAATGCGTAAAGAATTTGGGTCGGGGTGTGGGCGGTTCAGATGCCATCTCCTCTTCTCATGTGCATATAATTCCTTCCTGGATAAAGTGTGCATTCACATGAATTTCTCTTCAGTTCTGACTTTCCATCTTGAAGTGATTGTCTCTGCAGATTGGAGTCCTTCAGTCCTGGGAAGATACTATAAGCTTCATTAGTGTTATTCTGCTGTCCCCGAGCTCAGCAGCCTATGGAAATAAATTTGGCTGTATTAGAATGTATTCTCAGGCAGGTGCGGTGGCTCACGCCTGTAATCACAGCACTTTGGGAAGCCGAGGTGGGTGGATCACCTGAGGTTGGGAGTTCAAGACCAGCCTGACATGGAGAAACCCCGTCTCTACTAAAAACACAAAATTAGCCAGGCATGGTGACATGTGCCTGTTATCCCAGCTACTTAGGAGGCTGAGGCAGGAGAATTGCTTGAACCCGGGAGACGGAGGTTGCAGTGAGCTGAGATTGTGCCATTGCACTCTAGTCTGGGCAACAAGAGTGAAATTCCGTCCCCCCGACTCCCTTCAAAAAAAAGAATGTATTCTCAAATTTTGCTGTTTGGATATGCCCCTATATCCTCCTGCAGCCCCCCAAAACAGCAGCAAACCTGGTTATGCAGAACCCAGCACATGATAAGCTTTCTCTGTGAAGTATTTCTGGAAGACTTCAGGGGGTGTCTCATGGGGGCCAAACACGTCTGTGCTGCTGGCTGCTGTATGCCCCCCACCCCATCTCCTTTGCCACTGGCTGGCTGCCAGCAGTGACGCAGGTGCTCTGCCACTGCATTTTCAGGAGCTCCCTTTGGTGCCTGTTGTAGAAACTCAGGTTTGCAAGATGTTATTATTTTGGTTGCATTTGTGTAATTTACATCAGTAGACAATTTTTTTTTTTTCCAAAGCGCTAAGTTAGTTGTGTCTATCCTGAATTTGCACTTCCAAATTTGGGGAAATTTTAGCCTATGTTATTGGAGGACAGAATTATTTATATATAAAATCTTTAACTTCAGCATTATCAAGTAATTTTTAATGATGCAGATACAAAAAGAACAAAACTAGAATGACCCAAAGTATGTCATTATAACTCATGGAAAAAAATCATAATTGCCAAAACTTGAAAGCAAGCAGTATGTCCTTCAGCAGGTGAATGGACAAATGAACTGCAGCATATCCAGACAATGGATGGCTAAAAAGAAATGAGCTATCAAGTCATGAAAAGATGCAGAGGAAAATGCAATGAATGTTACTAAGTGAAAGAAGTCAATCTGAAAAGGCTACATACTTTACAATTTCAACTAGATGACATTCTGGAAATGACAAAACTATGGAGACAGTAAAATGATCAGTGGTTTCCAGAGGTATGGGGAGGGAGAGATGACCAGGCCAAGCACAGACGATGTTTAGGGTGATTCCTATACTATTTGATGCTGTAATGATGGATACATGTCATTTAAAATTTGTCCAAATGGCATAGAATGCACAGCACCAAGCATGAACTCTAATGCAAACTATGGACTTTGGATTATAATGATGTGTCAATGTAGGTTTATCAATTGTAATAAATATACCACTCTGATGGGGAATATTGATAATGGGGGAGGCTCTGTGTGTGTCAGGATACAGGATATATGGGAAATCTCTGTTATCTTCCTCTTAGTTTTGATGTGAACAAAAAAAAATGCTCTAAAAAAGTAAAATGTTTAAAAAACGTAAAAGTTGTGATATTTATTTATATTTTACTCCTTAGCCTATATAAATAGCTTTGAACATCATTACTTTTACTAAACTATCCTTTTTTTAAAAAATAAAATGGAATCTGTTTTATATTGTCTTTTCTGAGGATGTAACACTGAGCTTAGTTTCTCTTAGAAAAAAAAAAAAAGCCTAAGTCCCTTTCTTTTTTTATGTTTCATTTTTATAGATTTAGGGGGTACAGCCTACAATGATACATTGTGCATTTGTGAAATCTGGGTGTTTAATGTAACCATCACCCAAATAATGTACTAGTTAGGCAATTTCTCAACCCTGACCCTGCCTTCACCCTCCCACCTTTCCAAGTGTCCAACGTCTATTATTCCACTTTCTATGTTCATGTACACACATTATTTAGCTCATTCTTGTAAGTGGGAACATGTGGTATTTAATTTCCTGTTTCTGAGTTGTTTCACTGAAAGTAGTGACCTCCAGTTCCATCTAGGTTCCTGCAAAAGACTTGACAATTTCATTCTTTTTACGGCTAAGTAGTATTCCATGGTGTGTGTATGTACATATACAAAGAAAGACGTGATATATTAAAAGATATAGAAAATAAAGAAAATGTGATATGTCCAATCATCTGTTGATGGACACTTAGGTTGATTCCGTATCTTTGCTATTGTGAATGGTGCAGCAATAGACATGAGAGTACAGGTATCTTTTTGATATAATGATTTCTTCTCTCTAAGTAGATACCCAGTATCTAGTAGTAATCCCAGTAGGACTGCTGGATCACATAATAGTTCTATTTTTAGTGCTTTGATAAATCTCCACACTGTGTTTCATAGAGGTTGTACCAATTTACATTCCCACCAACACTGTATAAGCATTCCACTTTCTCCACATCCTCACCAACATAAGCTGATTTTGCCTTTGTATTAATAGTCATTTTGACTGGCATGATATCTCATTGTAATTTTGATTTGCATTGCTCTGATGATTAGTGATGTTGAACATTTGTTCATGCTTCTTGGCCAATTGTACAAAGTCATGTTGTTATTTACTATTGAAGAAAAGTTGTAACTGCCAATGGCCATAGATACATGGGTCTCATGTTGTTTTCAAATAGAACAATGCAGAATTATTCTAAAGCAGCTTTTATTTGCCAAAAATAAAGCAAGTTGTGAGTTATAAATAACAATTGAACACAAATTGTTTGGTTGTGTCCCTTTTTAACCCAGTGTATAATTGTTTATAAAAGCAAAACATCTGGTTCTAATTTTATGGGTATCAAAGTTACAAGAAGAGGCAACATGCAAACAATGAGCAGATTTGTCACTTTTGTAAGAGGGTCAAAAATCTTCTACTGCTTACACCCTAATGTGAGCAAAATGCTGCTCTTCCTCTTCACTCAGAGCAGAATCTTTGATCCCTCCCCAGATGTTCTCAAGGCCAAAGCCAGAAGTCATGTCCCACTTCCTGATTTTCAAAATGTGGCTATAGATTTGGTCATCTTTTCTGCAAAGATCACAGGAAAATGGGTATCATTCATTCCAGGAACCTATAGAAATTAGAAAACGATAATTTAGGACTGCAATATGAGCCTCTTGCAGTTCTTTCCTAGGGGAGTGATTGAGTGATATGCTCCCATCTGGTGGTTGAAATCCAGTGCCATAGAGTCCTATAGAAGCCCCAGTCATTTTACTATGCTGACTACCATGCTCAGATCATCTTTTTAACAGCTTTTAAAATACTATATATTTATTTGGAAGAGTAAACAAGCATTCTATTATTGTAGTGCTACTATTCTTCTATTTTCTAATTGAGTTAAATTAGATGCTGATTTTGTGAAGAACAGAGTCATTTTTATCACTGATTACACAGCACAAATCTCCGATATATGTAGGCTTCCTTCCTGACATGAGCATCCTCACTCATCCATTCATGCCCACTTCAGCATTGGCTTGAACATCCAACTTCCATGTTCCATGCAGATCTTGTGTTCTCTGAGAAGCCTGTCTTAGACACAGTCATAGAACAACAGAGCTGGGAGATCACTCTAGCAACATTACAGATAGGACACTGAAACGGAAAGCTATTAAGCAATTTGCCTGAGATCATCCAGCTGGTTAGTATAAAAGTTCAGACTGAGCTTGGGTCTCAGATGGCTCAGGCCACAATGACTTTGCCATTTTCTGGATTCTTACAGTCTACTACATTATTTAACACTTAATTATGTATTGCCTGGCCATACTCCCTAAATAACTCTTGTGTCTGGACCTTGCCTTACAGGCATACCTTGTTTTATTTTGCTTTGCTTTATTGTCCTTTTAACGCAGGTTTTACAAATTGGAAATTTGTATTAACCCTGTGTTAAACAAGTCTATTAGTGCCATGTTTTCAACATGTACTCACTTCATCTCTCTATGTCATATTTTGATAATTCTTGCAATATATAAAATTATTTTTATATCTGTTATGGTGACATGGGATCAGTGATCTTTGGTGTTCCTATTGTAATTGTTTCGGGGTGTCATGAATCACACCCATATAAGACAGTGAAGTTAATATATAAATGTTGTGTGTGTTCTGACTGCTGCAGTGACAGGCCAGTTGCAGCCTTTTTCTTTCCTCAGGCCTCCATGTTCTTTGAGACATTTCAATATTAAAAGTAGGCCAATTGGCCGGGCACGGTGGCTCACGCCTGTAATCCCAGCACTTTGGGAGGCCGAGGCGGGAGGATCATGAGGTCAGGAGATCGAGACCATCCTGGTTAACATGGTGAAACCTCATCTCTACTAAAAATACAAAAAATTAGCCGGGCGTGGTGGCGGGCGCCTGTAGTCCCAGCTACTCAGGAGGCTGAGGCAGGAGAATGGCGTGAACCTGGGAGGCGAAGCTTGCAGTGAGCCGAGACTGCGCCACTGCACTCCAGCCTGGGCGACAGAGCAAGACTCTGTCTCAAAAAGAAAAAAAAAAAAAAAAGTAGGCCAATTAATAACCCTACAATGGCCTCTAAGTTTTCAAAGGAGAGAAAGAGTTGCACATCTCACTTAAAATCAAAAGTTAAAAATGATTAAGATTAGTGAGGAAGGCATGTCAAAAGCTGAGATAGGCCAAGAGCTAGGCCTCTTGTGCCAAAGATATCCAAGTTGTGAATGCAAAGGGAAAGTTCTTGAAGGAAATTTAAAGTGTTATTCCAGTGAGCACATGAAAGATAAGAAAGCAAAATAGGCCAGTCATGGTGGCTCATGCCTGTAATCTCAGCACTTTCGGAGGCCGAGGTGGGTAAATTGCTTGAAGACAGGAGCCCGAGACCAGCCTGGCCAACATGGTGAAACCCTGTCTCTACCAAAAATACAAAAAATAGCTGAGCGTGGTGGTGCACCTGTGATCTCAGTTACTTGGGAGGCTGAGGCAGGAGAATTGCTTGAACCCAGGAGGTACAGGTTGCAGTGAGCAGAGATCATGACACTGCACTCCAGCCTGGGTGGCAGAGTGAGACTCTGTCTCCTCTACCCCCCACCCCTCCACACACACCCCAAAAAAAGGAAAAAAAAAAAAACAAGGAAAAAAGAAAGCAAAACAGCTTTATTGCTCATAGGAAGAAAGTCTTGGTCTAGATAGAAGACCAAATGAGCCACAACATTGCCTCAAGTCAAAGCCTAATCCACAGCAAGGCCCTAACTTTCTTCAATTCTATAAAGGCTGACAAAGGTGAGGAAGCTGCAGAAGAAAAGTCTGAAGCTAGCAGAGGTTGGTTCATGAGGTTTAGGGAAGAAGTTTCGCTATCATAGAAGTACAAGGTGAAGTAGTAAGTGCTGATGAAGAAGCTGCAGCAAGTTATCCAGAATGTCTAGCTAAGATCATTGAGGAAGACGGCTGTGCCAAATAATAGTTTTCCATATAGATAGAAGAGCCTTTTATTGAAAGAAGATGACATTGTGTTTTCATAGCTAGAGAGGAAAAGTCAAGGCCTGGTTTCAAAGCTTCAAAGGACAGGCTAAATGTCTTGTTAGGGGCTATGGCAGCTAGTGACTTTAACTTTAACCAATACTCATTTACCATTCCGAAAGCCCTGGGACCCTTAACAATTAAGCTGAAACTATTCTGCCTGTGCCCTCTAAATGGAAAAAGAAAGCCTGGATAACAGCACGTCTATTTACAGCATGGTTTACTAAATATTTGAAGTCCATTGTTAAACCCTACTGCTCAGAAAGAAAAAAAAAAAAAGGTTTCTTTCAAAATATTACTGCTCATTGACAATGCACTTGGTCACCCGAGAGCTTTGATGGAGATGTGCAAGGAGGTTAATGGTGTTTTCACACCAGCTAACACAACACACATTGTGAAGCCCATGGACCAAGAGTATTTTTGACTTTGAAGTGTTATTATTTAAGTAATACATTTTGGAAGGCTATAGTGCCATAGATAGTAATTCCTTTGATATACCTGAAGAAAGAAAATTGAAAACCATCTGAGAAGAATTTGCCATTCTAGATGTCATTAAGAACTTTCATGATTCAAGGAAGGAGGTCAAAATATCAATGTTAACGGGAGCTTGGAAGAAGTTGATTTCAACCCTCATGGATGACCTGGAGGAGTTGAAGACTTCAGCTAAGGAAGTAACTGCAAATGTGGTAGAAATGGCAAGAGAACTAGAATGAGAAGTGGAGCCTGAAGATGTGACTGAATTACTGCAATCTCATGATGAAACTTCAGTAGATGAGGAGTCACTTCATATGGATAGGCAAAGAAGGCAGTTTCTTGAGATGGAATCTACTCCTGGTGAAGATGCTGTGAACATTTTTGAAATGGCAACACAGGATTTAGAATATTATATCAACTTATTTGATAAAAAATAGCAGGAAGGTTTAACAGGATTGACTCCAATTTTGAAAGAAGTTCTACTGGAGGTAAAATGCTATCAAGCAGCATCACATGCTACAGATAAATTTTTTGTGAAAGGAAGAGTCAAATAGATGTGGCAAACTTTATTGTTGTCTTATTTTAAGAAATTGCCATAGGCACCCCAATCTTCAGCAACCACCACCTTGATCAGTCAGCAGCCATTGACATCAAGGTAATAGCCTAGGCAACATAGTGAGACCTTGTCTCTACAAAAACTTTTTAAATTAGCCAGGAGTGGTGGCATGTGCCTGTAGTCCCAGTTACTGAGGAGGCTGAGGTGGAAGGATTGCCTGACTCCAGAAGGTTGAGACTGCAGTGAGTCGAGATCATGCCACTGTACTCTAGCCTGGGTGACAGAGTGAGACCCTGTCTCAAAAAACAACAAAAAAAATACCATCGTAGCAAACCCATCAGCACAAAGATGGCAGAGTTTCGCTCTTGTTGCCCAGGCTGGAGTGCAATGGCACTCCAGCTCTCTGCAACCTCCGCCTCCTGGGTTCAAGTGATTTTCCTGCCTCAGCCTCCCAAGTAGCTGGTATTACAGGCATGCACCACCACACCCAGCAAATTTTTTGTATTTTTAGTAGGGATGATGTTAGTCAGGCTGGTGTCGAATTCCCGACCTCATGTGATCTGCCCACCTCGGCCTCCCAAAGTGCTGGGATTACAGGTGTGACCAACTGCACCAGGCTGTTAACATAACTTTTATATGCACTGGGAACACAAAAAAATCATGTGATTTGTTTTATTGCAATATTGGGCGGCCTGGAACTGAACCCACAATATCTCCGGAGTATGCCTGTATCTATTGACTGCTGACTCCATGGTAGGTGCTCCAGAAACACGTTAATTGACTGACAAAAATATGCAGTGATGTGGATATTGCCTCTTGAAAACTCTATCATGAGACCAAAAAGAAGAATTCCATTAAGATTTTCTGTTCTCATCCTTGAGATCTTGAAAATATTCCACAGAACAGTGGTAATCCTGCCTATTTTAAAAATCAATACATTCAATATTGATATTACTAACTTTTAACAGATAAATCCCTTTTTATAAAAGGAAGCAGAATCATATGGAACAAAGTATCTTTCACTACTGGAAAAGGTAAAGAATGAGACATTAGCTCATTGTGTCCTTCCATACCCAATGCTAAGAAATTGGCATGAAAACTAAAAAAGTTCAGCCAATTATCTGGATATTTTAGTTTGTCTTATAAAAAATGGTATATAGAAGGTGTCCAAAATTCTATCATTGCTTAGTTGTCAGTCAAAAAGTCATTGTTATACATAAATATGATGTCATATCAATGCATAATAAACCTTCCTGTCAATCAAAAGTATTGTTATGTATAGATTTTGTGTCAGACATTTTAGGCTTTGCATTGAGATATGAAGTGCATGCAAATTAAGGAAAATTTAAAGATGGCATGGCCACAGGCAAATATATTTTAATAGAGTTAGACTTTACAGGGAAATTGACACTTGAGCAAAAACACAAAATGCAAGTAAATACAGTTTGCTAAACAAGGGAGCTAGCTTTTGAAGGGGGAAAGAAAATATATAATTTTATCATTATACAGGCATATTTTCAAATTAGACAATCCACCCATTAGGATTCTATAATTCAAAATGGGAAAATAATAAATGGAGACAAGATATCAAGACAAACTTCTTGTCTCAATTTCTACATTTTCTAATATTTAAAAAAATATTTAATATAGCTAATTTTCAAAGAAATTAATTATCTGTCCAGTTATATATTACATTGTATGAGATCTAATATCGAAAATAATAGTTTCACCTGAAAATTTAACTTTAATTCAATTTTCCATTCTTATCACTGGCAAAATTTCTTTCACTGAGGGGGTCAGCAGGATTCCTGAACAGGGATTATGTAGTTGGTCACCTCCTGTCTTGCCCTGAACTCCTCTCTATATGTTATGTTATCCCTGCTGTGGCTGCAACTAAAATTAAAAAAAAAAAAAAAAGAATCAAAGCAGGAGGCATAGGACAGGAATGATCTAAACTCACATCCTATCTAATCCAAGCAGCACAAACCTTCTGCAAGGGTGCCTGCCTAAATCTGGTACTTGCAGAATTCGACGTATGACTTTGGCCACTTAACATGACACAGGTTCTTCATCTACAAACATAAAAAAGTGAAAATAAGTTCATTTACGTAATAAACATATTTTGAATACTTTCTATGTTCTAAATACCAGGATAGAGTAATAAGCTAGAATATGGTTCAACCTAGAAGGAGGGGCAGACTTTAATACATTTTCTGGTTCACTATCTAGTTGCAGGTGGGATAAGTGCTCTTGAGCAACATATTTGAGGATATACAGCAGGGGACTCATATACTCAAAGGCACAGTTAGAGGTAGGTGGGTGGATAGTCCAGATGAAAAAAACCCTAGCAATTACAAATGGGCTTTGTGAACCTCACGTATAATGGTTATAAGAAAGTGCCTTGCAAAGTATGAAGGGCTAGATACATTCTAGTATTATCAATTTGGAATGTATAATTATGAACATCAGCACTTAGTTCAGAGTTAATTAACATCATAGATGCTAAAAATATATGTGCTGGATTGATTGCTTTTATAGACCCCTTCACAGATTGAGTTTATTCCAAAAATAAAGTCATGCAATATTAAATGTAAGTTACAAAGTCCAAGAAGGCAGGAGTCATGCTGTCTTGTTTATTTCTGGTACAGGCCCTAGCATATAGAAGACACTAAATGAACACATGATTTGGGGCTAAACGAAACAATGGACTTTAATTGTTCCATTTTACAGATAAGAAAACTAAAGGCCAGAGAAATTGCTTTGTTCAAGGTCAGAGGCTACAAGTTAGTACAAATAAAGTCTGAACCTAGGATTTTAGCTCTTAATCCATTAATAATAGTAAAATTTGTGAAAATAACAGGATATCCATTGATTACTGACACGGGGATAAGATCAAACATGATTTCGAGAGGAGATAATTTTCTTCTTAGGAACAAACAAACAAAACTTTATGGTAACATATCATGTGCATTGCTTTTCTTTTGTAGCAGGCTGAGATTAAATTTCTACCACATAGGTCACCTTGCTACCCCTTACAGAGGTTAGGGGGGACCTCAGTAACAAAAAAGTAAGGCATATGGGTGCCAATTACTGATAGCTAATGTTGAATGCTTCACAATGGTCAAAAGCATGCTAATAAGAGAATTATCATTTTCTCACAGAGCTGAAAAGGTTTGGGGAGAAAATTCATTCTCTTAGTGGAGAGTTTTTTAATGTGTATAGTTGAGGGGTAACACTGCTGTAGCTAAGACTAGAAGGCCCCATGTATTAGTATCTATTGTTGCATGGCAAATTATCCTAAAACTTAGAGCTTTAAAACAACAATAAAAATTATCTTACAGACTTTCTGTGGGTTCAAAACATTTGTTATCACACATAATTATTGTGGGACAGGAAGTTAGAATTGGTTAAGCTGGATGATTCTGGCTTGGGGTCTGTTATGAGTTTGTAGTTAAGATGTCAAATGGGGCTACAGTCATCTGAAGGTTGGATGAGAGCCAAGAAAGGCACCTTTAAGATGGTTCACTCACAGGCCTGGTGCTGGCTGTTGTCAGGAGTCCTTAGTTCCTCACCATGCATATCTCTCCATAGAGCTAAGGGTCTTCATGGCACAGCTGGCATTTTCTAAAGTAATTTCCAAGAAAGCAAGGTGGAAGGCACAATATCATTTATGGCCTAACCCCAAAGGCCATACTTCATCATTTCTGCAGTATTAGAAGTTATTCTGTGTGGAAGAGGATGGCACGAAGGCATAAATACCAAGAGACAAAACTTACTGGGAGCCATATTGGAAACTGGCTACCAGATCACCCAAGATCACATGCTCTTCCAGGAAAGAAAGTGGACATTGGGGCCAGCGTACAAGAAAGTGCCTATAGTACACCAGTTGCACCTGGTTGATAAATTACAATATAATAGACTAAAACCTTCACTTGTTTACCCTTTTGAAAAGCAAGGGAACTATTAAAATTTCTCAACTTAGGTTCAAACAAACAAACAAACAAACAAACAACAAGCATAATAAGGAAGCATATAATGTAGAAAGACATTCTCTCCTAGTATCAGGGGACATATTTCGTGTCAAGTTTGAAATAATTGGTAACCAGAAGGGACTATATATGCTTGCGGAATTGTTCTGAAAATATCTTCATCCCGCTGATCAATCCATAGAGAGATGCTGGTAACAGTCAGAGGAGGTCACAAAGTTTCACTTGCTAGATAGAGAAAAGATGTCCCATGAAGGAAGTAGAGGAACTGAGAGATATAGGAAGTTTGTAAAAGGGCAGAAAGGTGATCTACCCTAAAGGTGGACTGCAACTCACCTAGGGATCCCTGAAGCTACTTACCACCAAACCAAGCAACAGAACAACCTCATCACACAAGGCAAGGGATTTAGACTATTTGAGACCAATTCACCATTGAGTACCTCTGTGGGAAACTTGGTTTAATCCCAAAGATGGGCATTTCTCACTGTCCTGAGGAAGTGTACATTCTCACAGTTCCTAGTCAAAAATGAAATGTGCTTCAAAGTAGGTCAGAGCTGAATAACAGCTCTCAGGAGCTTTGCAGTACACCATGCATGTAAAGGAGGAAAAACAAAGCTGCTTACAGAAGAGTCTCAATTCTCAGATTTTAGAATGAATTCTGTAGCTGGAATGAAGTAAAGAATAATCTTTTTGCATTTATTGAATGATTGCAGTAAGATTTTTGGCCATGAATTTTATCCTGTAGCTTGATTTTTCTTCTTCACACTTCCATTTTTTGGGAATTTGGGTGTATGATAACTACTCCAGATTCTGTTATTAACAAGCAACTTACAGATTTTTGTTTCAATAAATGTTTTGAAAGTTAATCTAAACATACCCAACTAAGTGTTTACAGCTGTTTCTCATTATCTGTAGTAACAATTCTTTTTTTGTTTTTTGAGACGGAGTCTCGCTCAGTCGCCCAGGCTGGAGTACAGTGGCACGATCTTGGCTCACTGCAAGCTCCGCCTCCCGGGTTCACGCCATTCTCCTGCCTCAGCCTCCCGAGTAGCTGGGACTACAGGCGCCTGCCACCACGCCCGGCTAATTGTTTGTATTTTTAGTAGAGACGGGGTTTCACCGTGTTAGTAAGGATGGTCTTGATCTCCTGACCTCATGATTCGCCCGCTTCGGCCTCCCAAAGTGCTGGGCTTACAGGCGTGAGCCACCGCGCCTAGCCTATCTGCAGTAACAATTCTTAACCATGGAATAATTTGGAGAATACACACATTTGATACTAAAAACAGTTAAGGTTTTGATAGAAAGATAGGTAGACAGATGATAGATAGATAGATAGATAGATAGATAGATAGATAGATAGATAACTGGGTGGGCAGATGAATGGATGGGTGAGTGGGTGGATGGATGGATGTATGAATGGATGGGTAAGTGGGTAGGTGGGTAGATGGATGGATGGATGGATGGACAGATAGATGATAGATAGGTAGATGTTTTCTTGAATGGCAAGCAAGGGGCTGTAGTTTGTCTTGAGCAAGCAAAGGTGAATGATGCAGCTATAATTTGTATTCATTAATGGTATCACAGTGAAATAGAGATTGAGAGCTCTTGGCCTGCAATATAAAGTGGATCTTCCCACCTACCATTTTGAACCACTGCTAATGGAGCACCTTTCACCTACTGTTCCTGCACATGTCCCCACATTTTCCTACTCCTAGGCCTTTGCTCATGTTTCCCCCCAGCTTCTCTGATTAGCTTTACATGGCTAAATCCCAGCTAAGTTTTAAAAGCTTAATGCCACCTTCTCCATAAATCTCAAGTCCAACAGACCCTTTTCTCTGACCTCCTAAAAGTATCTTTGCTTTTGTACTCCTCATTTGATTTTTGATTCGTGACACAGAGAAGGTTTAAAGTGATTAATTAATTAAACTAACACTTATTGAGCATCTATTATGCCCTTTGCATTGAGAATACAAAGTTGATTAATCACAGACTTTTCCTGGAAAGTTCATATTTTAACAGTAACGATAAACAAGTAAGTTACTGCTGAATGTAATAAATTCTATGAATAGCAATATGGATAGAGGGCTGGAGAAGCACAGAAAAAGAAGTGACTTGAAATTCATATATTTAGTTTAACAAACACATACAGGGAAACTACTACTGCCAGAAACTGTTCTAAGTGCTTTGTAAACATTAACTGATTTTATCCATCTAACAATTCTATAAGGTACATATTGTTATAATCTCCAGTTTACAGATGAAACTGAGGCATGCTCACACAGCTAGCAGGTGGCAGAGCCAGGATCTGACCCAGGATGTCTCAATCCTGAATCTTTACTAAGAATTATTAGACAATGCTGGCTCAATGGCTATTGAATAATCAAAAACGTTTTGAAAATAGACTTATTTTCATGAATAAGCTCCATAAATGTTCATGGATTAAATGGCTTCATTCATGAAGGATGTATAGGAGTTTGATAAGCACAGAGAAGAAAGAAGGGCATTCCTGCTAGATGAATGGAGAGGTTTCAAGATGTATAAATATGAAAGAACAGAAAGTATCCAGAAAACTGGAAAGTTCCACAGGCAGGTACTGGGCCTGTTTGCCTTGTTTCCATTCTCACTCTTTCCCTGTTCAACACTGTATCACGGGAGAGCTACTGCTACAGCTATCTTGTCCAAACATTTGCATGAAGCCAGGTTTGCCACTGGGAGGACCTGGCCAGACACTGCAGACAAGAAGGCAAGCAGTGGTCAGAATATTTTTCCCATACTCTTGTCTGTGCCAGGGCCTCTGGCAGCAGCTGTGTCTCCTGGTCAGTTCCCACCAGGTGACTGAGCCCTGGTCCGCTGTCTTCCCCCTTGGATCCTCTAACCCAGATGTGCTGGGTGCCCTGCAGTTGCTAACCTCTGAGCTGTTGCACCATCCTCTGCTCATTTTCTCACCTCTTCTGTTTCCTGTGTAAGCAACCCCTAGTACTAATTCATTTTACATACACACAAAAAATTATAGATAGGCTTTTGTTTTCATGCTTAGACCCTGACTGACATATTCAGAATATTAGGGACACAGTGTATTCACCATATGTGAGAGAAAAAGGTATGAATTTCTCATTGACGAACAGAATAAACAATTTTAATGATATTATTTATTTACTCTTTACCTTATATTTTAAAATCTTATGTTTTGCATAATGCATAATTAGTACAGTGATGTGTCCATAAATAATACAGTATGTATTAAATGTAATGTATAATTTAAATCTATGTGATGTATTTATAGTTATACATTATACATTTTATACAAGGTATCTATGTACTATAAACATGTTATATTTTATGCATCTAACAATTCTATTTAAATGTATTTAAATATATATTTTAAGATATTCATTCTCACAGACTGTTTCTCCTGATGAGGCATTCATCTGAAAACTTTAGAGTCTCTAATACAAAAACACATTTAGTCAGTCTCATTATAATGTCAACAAAGTTCATAAGTCATCGGCATCTCCTCTTAGTGACAGGCACTGTTGTGTGAGAACTCATGATAGAAGCATATTCAGCTTCACAGAATGACTTATGTGACTTATGTGGGCAAAATGACTACCAAGACTTCTACAGTTGGTTTTATTTTCTCCCAGACATAGCTGAACTAAATTAAGTACTCTAACGTTGGACAGAAAAAGAAAGATGGAAGGAAGAAGGAAGAAGAAAAAAGAAAAGATGGAAGGAAGGAAGGGAAAATGAAAGAAGAAAGGAAGGAAATCTCAAATAGCATGTGGTCAGAAATGAAAAGATAAAAATGGCCCCAAAGGTCCAGCTTCCATCCTTGCAACACTGTCCCCAGAGTGAAAGACACTTAGAAGATCAGATATCCTTCCTTTTGGATGGTTGGTGCCTATAGAGGATATGTGGCTCCTCCTGAATGTGGTTTAGCCCCTGGATCGTTTTTTCCTGGATCTGGGGATCAATAAAAGAATAGAGCTGAACCCAGGATATCAGACAGACAGAATAGCTGCAATATCCACTGAAATGCACAATTTATTTTTATTTTTAGATGAAAATAATAAAAAGTGTCTGTAGATAGAATTCTGTTTTAATATTTTTTCTGCATTCTACTTTGGAAACTACTGTTTTATGAAATTTTCCACTTTATTTGGTATTTTAAAATGCTAGTCACCTTTATTTGTGTTTTCAAATGACCTGAGGGGAAGAACAGAAGGAGCGGAGACAGAGAAACAGCTAAAATAGCTCAACACCTGAGCTTGCTCATACTGCTCTTTCTCAAGTTCATGCTTCTGCACCAGTTGGTTCAATCCGGACAGAACCCTGGGAAATAAGCAAACCTACAGAATAATTTCTCTGTGTTGTGCTTCATGTTTCAGAGTAGCTATTTTCAACTAGTATCACAGAGTGCTGCTACTAGCAACTGTTAAATTACATAGGAATTTGACTTCACACTGTTTATTGAAGAAATGCTAGAGCATATTAAGTGAATTTTTATTGTGCTTACATATTTCTCAGATGCAACTACAATGCTAAGTGCCTTTATTAGAGTGAGCAAGTTGATACAGCATTTATAACATATAAATATTTAAAATTTATATTTTCAAATAGTCTATGAAAACAAGATAAACTAATGGTTTATTTTGGTGTTTGGGCAAAGAAAGAGTAACTAGAAATAGAAATAAAAAGTCTTGATATAGAAAACACATATCATCTACACTGGAGATTTAAGAAGATTATAAAAGTATATGTGTCATAAAATATATGCTTTGCAGGGTAATTTTAAGAAATAAGAAAATCTAATCCTATTTGAGAAAACCAGCACTTAATTTCCTTTGGGTTCTCCCTTTTTTATCTTTGAGAATTACAAATCTCTCAGTATTATCTGTTATACATCTTCCCTAATGCTTAGTTCTTGGATTTATGTTCTATTCAACTACTGATTGCATTAAATAACAATGTTAATTCTCAGTAGTTATTAGTTAAAATTAGCTAAATTATTTGAAATTTCCCTATTAGGATAAAAACACAATTTAAAATACCTTTGTTACTTTTTTGGCAAGGGAACACCATTATTATAACCACCATCTCCTAAAGATAGTATTTATTACTTCTGTGTAGAATAGAGAACATTACAAGACTCACCTTTAAAAGAGCACACAATATAATGATATAAAGGTAGAAATCATTTTCATCTTTCCATGCACCCATAGGTTACTGCTAAGAAATGAGATTTGCTTCACAAACAAGTGTATGCATCACTGAACAGACAACAGCTCACTAGGTATATTCTGAAAAGCTTTTTAAAAGCATATGAAAGAGTGAACAGTGGATTTTTCTTTTTTCATACTAGGCTGCAAGCTATAGTAAAGTGTGTTTTCTGAGCATATTTTAATATACATATGCATATGTGCATGTATGTATGTACATATTCCAGATATTGGTTTATTCAAAGGAAAAAAATAACAGTTTTCCAAAGCATAGATTCCAAGGGGTATAATTAAGTTTAAAATTTTAAAGACATTTTGGGCTTACTTTAATATTTCAGGCTGAAAAAGAAGTGAATGAGGTGGTAGTGGTTGGGAAGATACTCATTTGGCTGCTCAAAGAGATGTGTCTGGGTTCTGGGACCCGTCAAGTACAGCAGCAGCTGCGCCTGTAGATGATCCTGTACCTATTCCAAGAAGTGCCTGGCTGGAAATAGGAAATTCATGTTTCCCGATTACCTGCGCCAAATGCAGGGAGAAGCATTGTCAAGACCCTGCAATTCTTCTCTTTGGGTTTGTCATGGATGCTGTGGGTACAGTTTTCCAAAAAACGAAGGATAATGAAACTGAGTTAGGAGAATTTGATCATTTCATAACTCTGCCTATTAAAACCTTATATTCATTCCAAAAACTATAGAATGCATGGGTTTTCCAATTGTTATTCTCCTGAGATTTGAAAAATAATCTTCTTAAGCCAAAACTTTTTCTGAGACTGACAGAAAGAAATTGTATTTCCTGGAAACCTAGTAAGAAATTGGGAACCATAATAATAGAACTGTTTTATTCATCACTAATGGACATATTTTGGAAGTAAAAAGTATAATTTAAAGAAATGATGAAAATAATCCTACTGTATGCCAGAATTTTTAGAAAAAAATTGTTTTATAGAATGAAAATTAAGGGAGGAAAAATTAAATCAAAGAGTAAGAAATGAAGATACGCTTTAATCCTAGGAAGAGTTAGAAGTTAAACATTGCACGAGAAATACTGAGAAGTCATCCTGCCAGAAAAAGTCCCTTCATCTCTACCACATTGCTGAGATTTCACAATTTAAAAAGTCTTTATTTTATTTTATTTTTTATTTTTAACAAAAATCCTTTTGTGGCTCTCAGAGCTTTCCTCTTCCCAAATCAAAATATCTAACAGTTCTAGTGATGTTACATTGTGATTGGTGTCAAATACACAATTTGAACCCAGGTCACCTGACGGCCACCCCAGTACTATTATCTAATAGTAATCTTGCTCGAAATGGAATTTTAACTCAATGCTAATCTAAAAAATAAAAATATTCTTGACCCTTTTAATGCCCGTATTTGTGTCGAGTTGTGCCAACTTTAATTATCTTTATTAATTATCAACTTTAATTATCTTGGACTGAAACAGATAAGAACTTAATGCATCCCAAGTGGCGGCCAAATGAGGTAGGGGAGCACTGTGGTAAGGAAGCTTTCATATAACTTTGAACAGAGAAAGTGATCAGCTCATTGTACAACAGCACAGAAGTATAGGATTGTTAGTAATGGCCAGCACCATATTCATGAGACTAGAGGCAGCTAAGTGTTGGCAAAATAATATCACATTAGACAGGTGCGGTGGCTCACACCTCTAATCCCAGCATTTTGGGAGGCTGAGGCAGGTGGATCACCTAAGGTCAGGAGTTCAAGACCAGCTAGGCAAACATGGCAAAACCCTGTCACTACTAAAAATACAAAAATTAGCCAGACGTGGTGGCACATGCTTGTAATCCCAACTATTCAGGAGGTTGAGGCAGGAGAATCGCTTGAACCTGGGAGGCAGAGGTTGCAGTGAGCCAAGATCACGTGACTGCACTCCAGACCCCCAGTGACAGAGCGTGACTCCATCCCCCCCAAAATAATAATAATGTCACATTAAATTAATGTGGGTAATTTAGCTCTTGGTTTTATAGATTTGATTAACTTTAATTTGTAAATGTGTGAATATTGTTTCACGATTGTATAAAACTTTTGAGCATATGGGGGTCTGAGAGAATTCTTCTAAAAACAAAACATTATTCGAGTTCTGAAGTTTAGCAAACTGTGTCCTTTACTAGTCTGAGATATTGACTCTCTTGTCTCCCTCCCACTTGTAATCTGGATAACTGATATGTGTGTGTGTGTATTGGCTGCAAATACAGAACCAAATTTAATGTCACAGGACCCAGGTCCTTTGGTGCCTAAATCAAATCCAAGGCCTTTTGAGCACAGGGAGATGACTTCTAGGTAACCAGGTAACCACTTTCATGTATTGAGTTTGTGTCTGAACCCAAAATTTCCATGTGTTACTCATTTCTTCTCATTGTTTGTCTCACTTGAACAATTTCCTGGAGAAAATGTGTATTTTAAAATATGCCTAATTTCTAGAAGTCCCAATAATTGGGAAAGAACTCCTGTTCATTCACTCTGCGTTGTTACCTGGGGACAGAGCTGGGATTTGAAGGCAGGAGAGCTGAACTCCAGAGCCTGTGTCTGTTGACCTCCTTGCTTTACAGACTCAAAGATTCTTCATTCTAAAGTGATGACATAAAGACATTCCCCAGAATGGCTATTACATCATTGAAATAACAGTGTCATTAAACTCTAAGAAGTGACAAAGGGAAGTTCTAGTTCTGGGAGGCTCTATTAGGCAGTTTTTCTAGTTTCTCTTCCTCCATCCCTATGTCTTTTTGCTAAATTCTCACCTCCAGCAGTCATCTGACCATGTCGCTAATCTTTTAGCTGGAGAAAGCTGTATCAGTGACCTACTGCTGTATAACAGACCATCCCCAATTTAGTGGTTGAAACAATGATTTATTGTCATGTTCCCATGAATTGACTATTCTGTTCCATGTAGTGTTGGCTGGGATCACTCATGCATCTGCACTCAGCTGGTGGCTGGGCTAGGGTACCTTGATTCTTTTCCTCTAGACGGTCTCTGTCTCTCTAGCAGGGTTCCTTAAGATTCCAAAAGGGAGCATTCCAAAAGGACTAACCCCAATGTGCAAGTGCTTATGGAACTTCTGGAAGCCACAGCAATTTACATGGGCAAATCCATGGTCCACGTGGAAGGGGACTAAAAGAGGGTATTCATGCAAAACAGTGTGATTGATTGGGAGCCATCAATGTGTCAGTCGACCAGAAGAGCCTACGAATGAAATGTAGCTATGTACGAATTTCCATTTTTTTAAATGTATTTTCAAGGAGTGTCGGTATGTGATTACATTTTGTTAGGTATGAAGCTACACATGTGGAAATCTATTAATATAATGTGATCTTGCCTGTTAAAGAGACATATGAGAATTTGGAATAGGCTCAAGAGAAGTTCTACTTGCCCCTCACTCTCTAATTTCCAAACAAATTTCAGTTCATGGCAAGTGACACATGAAATAAACCTGAGGATGGACAGGGGAATGGTGTAAACATGCAACATTCAATGTGTTAGAAAAAGTTAACGTCATCCTGCACATGTACTCCTGGACTTAAAAGCTAAACAAAGAAAAAGAAAAAGTTAATGTGAATATGGACACTAATTCTAAACAAGCAGGGCAGGGACTTAAAGAAATTAATTATTTAAAAGTGAAATTATAGCTTCTTAAACCTAAATTTTGTGCAAAAAAAAAAAAAAATCCTTCCATGTATTGGCATATCAGTCCCTATTCAAGGGCCTTGATCACCAGTTGTGAAGCTCATTAGTTTCACATCTGATGCCAAGAGAATAAGGTCCAATCACTGGGAGAGGGTACATACATATCAAGGTGGGTTTTGCAAGGTGAGATATAGGCTAGAATTTGGGGAAACATGTAAAATTTGGCATGCTATAAAAAAAGAGGCCAGGTGCAGTGGCTCATGCCTGTAATCCCAGCACTTTGGGACACCAAGGTGGGCGGATCACCTGAGGTAGGGAGTTCGAGACCAGCCTGACCAACATGGAGAAACCCCGTTTCTACTAAAAATATAAAATTAGCCAGGTGTGGTGGCAAATGCCTGTAGTCCCAGCTACTCAGGAGGCTGAGGCAGGAGAATCACTTGAACCCAGGAGGCGGAGGTTGCGGTGAGCTGAGATCAAGCCATTGCACTCCAGCCTGGGCAACAAGAGCGAAACTCTGCCTTAAAAAACAAACAAACAAAAAATCAAAAGTGTGGAAAATAATATGATAATAACCTCTGTTAAACTTGCATGAGGGAATAGACTAGACCTAAGTGTAAATAGGTGATTTGATTGGGGTCATTTTGATTGCTTGGCAATACAATTCCTTTCTTTTATATTTAATCAGAATGTTTGAACACCTATTTATTAATTGACCCAGTGCGTAAGATGACCACAGTGACTGGGCTTAGTGTAAATACTCATTAGTTCAGTTCTCTTGATTGGATCAGATGACCCTTTTACCCATACGATCAATACATTATGTGACGCATAAATGGTTCGTCCAAACTTCTAAGGGTGACATTACTCTATTCAATAGTGCTCTCCCCACAGAAAAATAAGCATAGGTAAGGAAATAACTTCTTTTAATGAGATTAATCCCGATGATAACTTAAAAGGCAGTTTTACTGCAAGATGTAGATGACTTTCAAACCTCCTTATGAATTAAAATATTGAATCATTTTTGGTGTCATCAACATGGTGGTTATAAATAGAAGTGAGACTGAGGGAGTAGTTTTTTAAATAAATGAATCCATAACCCTAGAATTTTCTGCTACGGACTACCCTGAAACTCATCATAAGTTCACCTAGAACAGGATTTAAATGATGCTTGCATTAACCATAGTCAAAACTGGTGATCAAATGCATTTCTGCCCACAGAAACCCAGGTGAAGGAATGCTGAGCCCTTCTTTTCACCAGGACCTAAATATTTCCTGGAAGTTTGAAACTCAAGGCGCAGAATATACTCCTTCCCCAATATTTCTGCAGCTATTTTATTGGGACCAATAATTTACGCAAATATGAGGCTGAACAGTTGGGCTCCTCTGGGAGCTTTCCACTGTGTTGGTGCTAGTTTGGATCGTTTAAGTATGCGTGCGCGCGCACGCGCGCGCGCGCGTAAAAACCGGGTATTTCCCTGAAGGAGTTGAGTTGACACCAAGAGGTCACTCCCCTGAGGAGCCGGCTGCAGGGCGGTGATTCGCCTCCGCGATGGTGGCGGCGATTCCGTGCACCCTCCTGCTGCTGGACATCAGTTATATTTCAGGCTTTCAAAGTAAACGACGAACTCAGCACTTTGGCAGAGTCCAAAATCCGCCAGCGAACTTGGGTGCTAGAGAGTTCGGCGGGAAGAAAAGGTGACTCAGAGATACACCGCATTTTTCTGGCACTTTCCACCGAGGATACTCTAATAAACGGGAGAGGGGGGAAGAGGGAGGGAAGGAGAGGAACACCCTCCTCCTCTTCCAGAAACTGCACCTCAGCCTGAGATTTGGGTATTATTTTACCTGTATTTATAAAAACCACCACCGCACTCCCTGCACCAACTACCCAACTGCCTCGACTTCCATTAAAAGCAGCTACTAAGACTAAAGAGAGGGAAAGACTAAGGGCGGGGTGGGGGGGAGAGACAAATAAATAAATAAAAGAGAGTGCGAGGGGGGAAGGGGAGAGAAGGGAGAGGGAGCGCCTGGGACTCGAGACGGCGGCAGGTTCAATTAGCTAAACAAAGAAATCATGGCGGATTGTTTACATTTGGCAGCGCCCGGGCTGCGCCGACCGCCGGCCCCAAGCCGCCGCGGGCCCCGAGGAGTCGGCCGAGCTGCCCCCGCGCCCTAGCCGGGTAAGTGACGCCGGCCGCGGGCCCGGGGCGCGGCTGCCGCGCGCGCCACCCCCGCTGCCTCCCCGCCCCCGGCGGCCCCGAAGCCCCCCAACTGTCCCCTGCCCCCTCCCCCACCGGATCGCCCCAGCCCCCTCCTCTTGCCCCCGGCGCAGCTGGGCTCCGCTTGGATTTCGGTGACGCTGTGGCTCTGTTCGTTTGCTGCTGCTGTTGCTGCTGCTGGTGCTGCTGCCGCCGCTGCTGCAGCCAGGGGGAAGGGGTGGGGAGAGTTGGGGTGGGGGCGGCAGAGCAGTGTGGAGAGCAGTGCCCCTTCACTCGTTTGTTGCCTCTTGGGGTCAGGACCTCCCCGGCTGGGCCAGCCCAGCGGACGGCCACGGTGCGCGCTCGCCTTGCGCCACTGCCTCCGGGACCCAGGCAGAGCGCGCCACTCAGCCCAGGAGGTGGGGCCGGGCAGTGACCCCGCGCAAAGTGCCAGTGCGGAGGGCGGGGGTGGTTAACGACAGATGTAATCCCAGGAGGGGCCGCCGCCTTCGCTGTCCCCTACCTGTAGCCCCTCTTTATCCTAGCTTCCATTCCCCGACCCTTTTCTCTCTCTCTCTTCTCCCCGTTCTTTTCTACACCCCTCATTGCTTTTCTCAGACCGGCATTAACGTTGAGAACCTGCTCAAGAGGTCACGTGACCTTCCAAAGACTGACCTTGCCAAAGCCACCCACGTCTGTGAGAGCTTTTGCAAAGATTGACTATTTCCTCATCTTTGTGGCCCGAGGGTTCACTTTTTTCCGTAGGGTGGAACTCTCTTTCTCCTACAGAGGCTTTTTAGACGCGTGTGTTTGTGCTGCGGTTGGCACAGCAGTACTAGGAGGTTAGGTAATGACAGGGGAGGAAAACAAAGGCAACAAATGGGGGAAAAAGAGAGGGCAATGTCACCAACAACAGAGGGGGCTCTCTGTGTTCCCAGAAAAGATGGTTTCCTTTGCGGAATCCTTCCAGCATCATCGGCATGCAACTGACATATTTCCTTTGTACAGAGAAAAATCCTTAGGTCCTTCAAGTTAACCTCTATTTCCCTTTCAATAAAACTTTAAAAAAATGTTTAATGCATTCAGTAGTTTGTTTTTTCTTTTTCTCTTGCTTCCTCTTTCCAGAACCTTAGTTAATATCTGTGTCCTATTTGGGAGAAAATCACAGCCAAGACTAGCTGTGGAACAGAGCAGGACTGGAGGTGGTGACATTTAAGCAGCCTTGACTGGGGACCAGGGCAACAGAACCAGGCCCAGTTGCTTCTCTCGCCTTTTTGAGGCTCTGACATCATACTGCTGCTGTTTTGCTAATGCACCATTGTAAATCGTACAGTGAATTGCTTTATTACCTGAGAAAGAAAATGCTGACATTAAAAACAATCTTTTGCATTACATAGCAATCATATCTTGTATACAAAAAATGATTCAAGCGAATTCTTGATTCATAATTTTTATTATACCCTGTGGAAGGCCCATCTGGAAGAAGATATTGCACCTACTGTTTCTCTTCTTCCCCTTGAAAGTGGCAAACACTAGGTGATTGGTTTTCATTTGTTAGATTACAGCAAATTATGTCTATTTTTTGCTTAATCACCAAAGCAACTTTCTATCCAACTCACTACATCTTTAGTAAAGCAAAACTTATTTCACAATTACTATCTGGCAGGTATAGCCCATCACCTTACCATCCCACTACTCAGTTCTTTTTGACCCATTGACAGTTTAAAAAGTAAGGTTTATCTTCAGAAAGCAGAATAGAAATGGGAGTGGGTAGCGAGTCTTAGCTAACTCAAGAACTCAGGACTTACTGGAGTCAGAAACTTTCAGTGAAGATTGCACATGTGTATTTTCAGTTGTGTGGACATGAGAAACACAAAGCTGGTGGTTTCATAAAGAGCTTCTACCCAGACACTTAACTCACCAGTTAGCTTGAGATTCCATTACTCAGTGACCCCAGGCACATTCTCATAAATGGATTTTATGTTGACTCCCTGTCCATATCAGTTCAGAGATCATAATCATGGAAGAAAGTGAATTGGCTTCCACAATGACTTTAACAGAAGTAGAAAGATCAGCCTATGGGTTATAGATCTTACTGACCCATTAAGGGTCAGTAAATTAGTAGACTGCACTTGAGTTGACACTTCTGATCCCATCTTAATGGGTTGATTAACTCATGGCTGCTATCTTCATTATGGGCTATTAGCACATTGTTAAGCCTGATCTTAGAGTAAGAAATTGTTTCTATGTTTACTTTTTGGTTCCCAAGGTCAATCAATATTCATCATGGCCTATTTTTCTTTAAACTGAGGAGGTTAGTTAAATAAGTCTTTCTATAGAGAAAAGAAAATTTAATACCGTAACTGTATATGAATTTGGGATGCAAAATATGGGATGAAAGAATTTTGCAAAATACACAAATATATCGTTAGAAACACCATCTCCAAATGTAAAAATATGTATAATATATATACATATTAAGGAATTCGAATCTACATCCTTCTCATTGGTAGCTAGCATCCTCTTACTCTTGTGTGTGCCTTTGAATGACAGACAAATTTAATGTATGATATTTAAACCTCCAATGCTAGTTTTTGGAAATTGTTGTGTAGAATAGTCAAAGTCTAGACCTTGTCTACTAGGAAGTGTAAAATGTAGGCTCCAGTGAAGCAGATATTTGTGATCAGTTTAAGCTAGAAATCAATCTCTAGACTGCGTTATTACATCCATGAAGTACTTATTCTTTCCTGGTTTTCCTGAAGTTTCTAGAGCATTTCAAGGTAATTACAGTCCTAGTAGTCTGGGTGTCATCAGTAAGTACGCTGTAGTCTCACCATTTGGTAATCAGTATGTCAATAATGCTGGGAAAACTGCTTAAGGAGCTTGCAAGATTTATACTCCTAATCATGTAATAGATTAAGAGTTGCCTAGATGGTTCCACATGGAACGTCATTCTAAACTCAATCTGTTCTTGTGTCAGCTAGGCCCCAAAGTAACAATTTCTGGTAGGGTTTTTTGGATCTATTACTTGGTAAACATTTATTGAAATTCAAGCAAAAATAAAAATGTAATGAAACCTAAGAATTAGTCTATGGAAAAATATAAGGAGAATTGGGATATTTTTCTGCCTCTGAAATCAAGATGAAGAAGTGTGTTGAGGAAGCCTGGTAGTATCAATAACAAAGGAATGGTCCCCCAAATCATGAGAGGCCACTGAATTTGTCAAAGAGGAGATCATTGATAACCTTATGATGGGCATTGACTGAGGGTATAAATCAGAGAGCAAGATTGTGGGAGGGTAAAGAAGAAGATGGTGAGAAAGCTATGATAGATAATATTCAATTTGAATATCCCAGGATGATGTTCTTGAAAGGTACTGTAATTGGCAAATCCTCAGTTCACAATGCCAGTCTCAGAGAAAATAGTGTCTTGTAGAAACTAAATTTAAAAAGTATTAAGTACATTAAAAACTCTAGAGCAAATAAAAGCTGAGGAAGGCACCTGCCTTCAAAACTAGCCACCTTGTCGACATTAAAACCCTGTACCAACAGGTAATCCTCTTGAATCATCTTCTTTAGTCGTTCAGGGACACATGGCTGAAGAATTGTGATCTGCTGAGTACAAGTCTCCAAGCCCTAGGGTACACAGATTATTTTTTGTTTTAAAGTGTTTGAGCCCATTCTTACTTGAAATTCAATGTCCTTTGCACTTGCTTTCTCCCTTATTTCATTTCCTTAAGCCTTGCCAAACTGCTTTTGTAACCATATAGCCTTTCAACAAATTATCTTGGTATTTAGGGCAAGTTTTTTTCCTTTTAAGGGTGCTGGTGCATCTGGTGTCGTATCTTTAGAATTAGAGGATGTGCTGTCAGCAGATCCCTTTCTGAAACACCTGACTACACAGCCCACCAGAGAGAGAGAGCAATGTTTATTGTCTGTCCTGCCCCTTCAGGGACTGAACTGAAGCTGTAATACATAAAAACATTGTAGGTTTTAAACTTATAATGTGTAAATATAAAGTGAGTTATTTTAAATTTATCTGGCAAGAGCTTATGTATAGGTATATGTAGGACAGGGAGACGTAAAAGCAAAACATTTGGCTTTTATTTGACGGCAATCTGTAGATCTTTTTTTTTTTTTTTTTTTTTTTTTTTTTTTTTTTAATAAGAATTTGGCTTAATTAAGGTGGCTTTGTGGTATGCTGTGTGCTTGGAGCAGGAATGGGAGACCAGCAAGGGCTATGAGTCACAGGCTGTGAAAAACAAAGTAGGGCAGCAAAACATTCCCTTTCAACCCAAATCTTCACTCCTGCCCATCTCAGGCAAAACAGCAATATCAACAACCATGACCACAGAGCTAGGCCAACTCAAATCAGCAGAATCTGCATCAAGGGAAAACAGGGTAGACAGTGTTTCAAAGGAGCAGCAGCTCTTGTCATCACTGGGTTTTCAGATACATAAATTAGAGAGCTCTGTGCCAGTTAGTACCAGAGCTAGTGGAAGCAGAACTTTGTTGGAGGAGGAGGCTGGCTGAACTTCACTGAGATGCCAAAGTCCCAGTCTTGGTTGCACCTGGGCTCCATTACTACCAGAATACAAGCTAGGAACCAGGTAGAAGATGTCTCAGATAGCTAGGTAGACTTCATGTGGAGATTAGGAGAAGTGTGGGTATTTGGACTTTGCTCTCACTCTAGAACCCTTTGTTTAGGGGCAGCAGACCCAACCCCTCTTGCCAAATCCATTTCCACCAATGGATTAGATTTTTAATGTTCTATTATGTCCCCACTGTGCATGTTTTATGGAAAGAGGTGATGACTGAGTATGGCTGCCAAGATTGGATAAACAGGGTGGAAAACGATGGGGACTGATAAAATGAAATAACCCAATGAGACTGCAGAATTAACTATAATTAAACATTTATAATATAATATTCCAGAAGTACAGTATCTGAAAACAACAACCATATGCTCAAATAAAATCATGG